TTACAAATACCTCGGCCTCACATTTAGTGCTTTCGGAAATTTCACAATTGCAAAACAGGAACTCAAGAAATCTGCTCTGAAAGCCTTATTTAAGTTGAAAAAGGAGATGGGTCACTCTTTTCACTATGACCCTCGTCTCACCATGAAACTTTTTGACACACTAGTAAAACCTATTCTGTTATACGGAAGTGAAGTCTGGGGTTCTGAGATTTCTAAAAATGACCCTATAGAACTCGTTCATACCAAATTTTGCAAAATGTTACTCGGAGTGGGAAAATATGCAACCAATTCTGCCTGTTATGCAGAACTAGGTCGACTCCGTCTGCATGTAGCTGCAAACTTAAGATGCATAAGATACTGGCTCAATCTAGTTACACCTACATCGAGCCATAAAATTACATTCTTAGTATATAAAGAAATGATAAGCTCCAGCCGTAAAATTTGCTGGAGCCAAAAAGTAAAAGAGTCATTATTAAAAAATGGGCTGGGTGATATATGGCTAGAAGTAAATTCCAATACCTCTCGCCAACCAAACGTCTTTGTTACTATCAAAACGAGATTTGAAGACATAGAGAAACAAAACTGGCTCGGGGAGATCTTTAATGATAAAAGGGACACCCCTGGCCAAAAGAACAAATTAAGAACGTATCGCCTCTTCAAAGTTAGTTATACGTTAGAAGGTTACTTAATAAACGTGCAATTATGTACAAAACGCCAAATAAAATATGTCTGTCTGTCTGTCTGTCTGTCTGTCTGTCTGTCTGTCTGTCTGCAAATCTACTATACAGCAGAATTGCTTGCTCTTTTTTTTTTTTTTTTCTTTTTTTCAATTTTATAGCACAAAAAAGGCTCAAAGGCTGGTGCACAGAAAAACTGCTTGGTAAGTCGTTTAAATTATCTAGATAAGCAAGAAAGCAATAAAATCATATAAACACCGGCCGTTTTATTTTCTCCTTTTATAGTATTCCAAAAAAATGAAGCTCCGACGCACTATGTACCCTGGAACCGACGACTGGCCTGAAGGATTTTCGGAATTAATGGCATTCGTCGAGAAGATGGACAGAGTTAATCCACCGAAATACAACCAGACGGGGATCGTATCCTCCGATCCAAGAGAAAAGCAGGGGAAATTTGGAAAGGGACGAATTCCTGTAGGAGGTGAGGTAATGGTAGAAACAGAAAGCAAAAATATCCAATTGTCTAAAACTCCGTTTGACAACGGATCAACGTGCAAAATGTACAAGGGGATGTACAATTGCAGCGGGGAGGATATACCGGTGGCTTGCAAAGAATTTTGCATAAAAATGTCACCAAAATTCAGACGTCGTATGGAAAAGGAGGCAAAGTATATTCTCAAATTCGAACATCCTAACGTGCTCAAGCATTTTGGAATTGACTTCAGTAGATCTATTTTGGTCACCGAATCATTGTGGAAAGAGAAATTCTAATGTCTAATGGAGTAACTGCTGTCATCCACAACGCACGACAGCTTATTGATCATCTAGAGGACGATCTCCTGTGGGTGGACAGACTGGAAATTTTGGAGCAGGCAAGTTCTGGCATATCATACCTCCATCAAAAACAAATCGTACATTGCGATATTAAGGCAGGTAACATACTTATTGGGGGGAAATCGGACGGTAGATATGTCGCTAAAATAGGGGACTTTGGGCAGGCATCATTTGATTTAGCTCAATTTTCGGTCTCACAAGCAACTTCTTTTCCTTCCACGAGCTCCAAAAGAGACGTTGAAAGAGAAAGACTTGGAACAGCTCCATATACTGCTCCTGAAATGATTGACATTGGAGGCAAGAGAGGCATCCATAGCGACATCTATAGCTTTGCCATGGTGATGGTAGAATTTACCATGCCAGAAAGATGCCATCCATGGGAGGGAGAGTTGACAGATTGCAGCATGATTTACTATCACGTAAAAAAAGGGAAGAGACCGACCATTGATGGCGATAAATTGGCTGAAATACCAGGTAAACAGGGGGAGTGCTGGCTTTCGTTCTTAAAAGAATGTTGGGCCCAAGAAATTCAAGAAAGACCATCCATGGAAAAAGTCCGAGAGTTTCTTGCTAGTGTTTCAAATAATGCGATGGAAAAGGGAAGCGTGGAAACTAAAACATCTTCTTCAAAAACTGACGCAATAATAATTGAAGACAAGACATTCCTTTAAATACTCATCAAGGAGTTGTTGCTGAAAATGCTGGGGAAGTCGCTGCATTGATATTTTAAAATAATGAAACCATTGATAGTCATCTCCAAGATGAAATTGATAAACATGTTCTACAGCACGATGGAACGAATGCTTGTGCTTTTCTTGCAGTCAAAAATGTAGACCTTTTGTACTCGAAACCTGAGGCCTTGGAAAGTCTTGAAGTTTTAAAATCGGAGATCGAAAAGGTATTGGACATTCTTCCAAGTCAAATTAATGACCTGCGTGATGCAAACCAGCTTTCAGACGTGGTGGAGGCAAGGCGTGTTCTGAAGAAAAAGAAACTTCTTAGCTACAATTTTGAGCTGATCGAACTGATCAAACCCGAACCGTGTGATAATGCAATTGAAAAAGACGCTAATCTAAGGGAGGCTATGATGGAATTATCTAATCACAAAAAGGCCATCGCAGTATATACTTGCACTCCCATATGTCTTGTTATTGGATTCTTAAATGGGAAATTCTTTATAATAGATACCCACTGCATCCATGCAGAACTTGGAGGCAATGGTAACGGATTTGTAAAAGTGGTTCATTGCAAAGAAAATGAGGATGCAAAAGCTGAAGGAGGTGAGGCTATTTTTAAATGGCTAAAGCTCGGGATGGGGACCGCTGGCAACAGAAGAGGCGAAGAATCTTTGCTTCATTTAGTAACCAGGCCTATGGATGAAGACGAAAGCAAACTTTTAGCGAGTCAATCAAAGAAAGATAATTTGAAAATCTCTGGCCTTCAAGATAATGAAAATATGCTCAACGATGATGAAGAGGCGGAAAAGTTCATTATCTCTGATGACGACGACGAGGCCTTGGTCAACGTAAGTATAGAGGCGGAAAACAATGAAAAAACTCTTCAGAAACCGATGCTAATTGACGATAAAGAAACCGAAGAGTTCATTATCTCTGATACCGACAACGATGAATTGTTGAATGTAAGCATAGAGGCGGAAAACAATGAAAAAACCCTTGAGGAAGCGATGCTAATTGACGATAAAGCAACCGAAGAAAATGAAAAAATCCCCGAAGAAGAGACGAAATAAAGCAATACCGGGGCCAAAAAACTGTTGTTCTCCGCCAGGGACAATGAATTACATACCAATGTGAGGACAGAAGCCGGAGAAAAACAGCGCAAAGCAGAACGACGAAAAGAAGATAAAAT